GTGGTCTAGCCACGGCTCCAAGACCAAAAACATTAGCTGGGGGAACAAGTGCGATAGGTGGCCTAGCCATGGCTCCAGGACCAAAAACATTAGCGGGAGGAACAAATGCGATGGGTGGTCTAGTCACGGCTCCAGGACCAAAAACATTAGCTGGAGGAACAGGTGTCATAAGTGGTCGTGGTCTTGTCACGGCTCCAGGACCAAAAACATTAGCTGGAGGAACAGGTGTGATAGGTGGTCTAGTCATGGCTCCAGGACCAAAAGTTCCATCAATTACCGCTGGCCACTGATGTGATAACACACTAACAGGATGATATGTGTTGCTTGGACGGAAGCCTGGAAGACCTGCACAGATAGGATACTGTTATATATACCTAAGGATCTACTGTAGAAAAAAACATTAAAAAAATCCGCCTGCCATATTACTAAGACTTCAGCAATCCAAACACATAATGCATGATTTATCCTTGCAGACAAATCAACTTGGCGACCAAACAGAAACAAAATAACTTATAACTAGTTAACTACAGGAAATGAGATTATGAAAACATCATTCAGCATAGACATGCAAGTAAGTTCAGTGCAGAATAGCCCGAGATAAAACATTATACTGCTCTCATAGGTTTTCTTCACAAAATTCAGAGAGATCGTACATGACTGCGAATTTGTAATACATTACCCAGTATAAAGAAACTGATAATAAATACTCCCTCCGTCCGGAATTACTTGTCACGGAAATGGATGTATCTAGACATATTTTAGTTTTAAATACATCCATTTTTATTTATTTCTGCGACAAGTAATTCAGGACGGAGGGAGTACCTTGCTATCAGTACAAATAATCAGCATTGTGTTTATGAAGTTTTCATATTTCTGCAACCTGGAGGCAGATTTATGTAGATATCCAAATTTGAACCTAAACAAACACAGTTGTTTGTAGCAATTATTTGCAGAACTCGGAAAGATCATGGTAACATAACCAATGTACTACAACGTACGAAATATTTACAAAATGCTTTGCTGTCAATGGCCTCTCATTAAAATGGTTGGGATGACTTGAACATAAAAAATGAAAATAATAAAGCGCACATTTTGGAAATGTCACAATTGAAGTTTGCAAAAATCCACAGTACGATGATGTACGTAAACAACATGCACACTAACTCAAGCAAAAAGGTAAGTTACAGCATGTAATCAGTTAGACCACCGAAATACTATGCACTGCATTTGATTTAATGTAACAAGACAGACAATAAGCATTACCAAACACATCAAGGTCGTGGAAGCAAACCAAAACACACCAAAGGTCGTGTAAGATCATTAGATCTTCTGAAACAAACAAGGCTCGCCTTTCTCGTAAGGCAGTGCATCAGGGCACAGCCAATACTGTTACAGAGAAGCAGTCAGTCAACGATAAAATTGTTAATCATAATACAAATGCAGCCATTTCTATATTCTAAAACCAAATCTCCACCTGTAAAAAGGACAAATCACTAGAATCTGAATCAGTCATCCGTCCCTTCTAAATTGCTAAGTCAGTTGCAAAAACTGAGTTCGGCAAAAGCGATCAACAATGTTCGTCGCAATAATTAAACCTACCGAACGGGTTAAGGGGGGTGGCTGGGTGCGGACGGAATCCACCCGGTGGTGGGGGCGGAGGCTGGTATTCGCGAGGCCCACGGAAAGCGCCGGGTGGCAAGACGGGCGGAAATACCAGCGGCCGCCGCGTTTGGTAGAAGGGCGCCGGGTACGGCGCCGGCCGCGGAACGCCGGGGGGCTGGAAGGGGCCAGCAAACGCGA